AGGTATACAAAGTGCAAGTAATAGGAATCTTAATTTAATAGAATTAAACAACCCATCGCCGAGCAGGTTAGACACTTCTTCTAATCTATCGTCTTCCTTAAGTCTCGAAGTCTGTGCAAGTGCCACTTCGACTTCATCCGCCACCTTGCTCCGCGGCATCTTGTACCTATTGTCCCCTTTGGCATCGATGATAACGTGCATAAAACGCTGGATAGTCTTGAACGTCTTGTCAAATTTCACATCAGAAAGCTTGAAAAACGTCAAATTTGCCTTGGTTTTTGTAGTGAATTTTCGTATGTCGATAAAACGTCGAAATTGAATATATAATTCAAGCAAAAATACGGACGTCAAGAACGGAACCCAGTGGTCCCAATCCACTAATTTTTTTGCCAATCAGAGGCCTAGAAGTATACCAACTGTTCCCGCTTGCAATTGATACATAACAGAGGAAGTATTATTAAAATATGTACAGTAAATTTTGATGCATACTACTGTAGTATTAATAGTAGAGTGAGGTAGACTGTATTAATGCCACCCCAACCTAGATGTACCTACAAAAGTCCAATCCCTACTGCCGATGGTGGAGCCAAGAGGTGCTGGCGTGCAGATGGGCGAAGCGATGACTTTGATCATCATACATTGATGAGATCATAGAGCCCATGTGTGTCATAACATTTCCTGTGCTACCTACCAACCATCGACCTGCCGCGGACCCGCTGCCGATTCGCCACGAATCTTGTGCATCGACCGATGAGGTAAGGCTACAGTGTCGTGTAGGTCAAACTACTCTACAGCTCATGAAACAGCGGTATTCTGTAGAAGGGTGACAAGAAAGATGGCCGCGATAGAAAGTTGTTCACGAACAGGACGCTGTGGCGCAGTGGAAGCGCGGCTGCTGACAGACCTGGGTTCGATTCCCAGCGATTTCAACTTAAAATTTACACATTAGATGGTGTTTACCGGTAACGTTATATGTGATTTGGATACTTTGAACGCTGTTAATGGTTGCATGTGTTACATTGGTACTTCGAAATATATTATTAATACTAGAACAATTTATACCACAAATACCGTTAATATTTTGCGAATTGTGTGTGCCGCATCGGCAGCCCCACTACCGGTACCAGCAATGCCATTTGAAGTGACTTCTGGAAGAATGTGCAGAAGATTAATTGGATTTTACTGGATTTTGTACGGACAGTTATGTGTGAACTACTTGTAGCTCTGAGTACTTAGTGATTAGTGTAATGATGGCAAGGTTGCCGACCAAGAATACAGCTTGTCGCATCGTTAAGAGAACGATGGCAAGACTGTCGAACAAGCTAAAGATTGTCGCACCATTAGCGGGCAAGGCCGTTGAAGAAGCCGTAGAGAAAGAACATTTACTTCATGTAGTTTAGTATAGTATACATTTTCGTAGTTAGTAGTTTAAGACGACAATCTAATCACTTTCCAATTTACTCTGTGAAGCTCGCTACCGTTACAATTAGTGTCAACTTTTTGTGGCAATATTGCTCGCCGGAATAACGATGCATATATTTTGATTAACCCTGAAATGGAAAACGCAAGAATGACGTGGAATGGCACCAAATACTGTACGACAATTCCGGTCTTCTAATGAATTTCGTTTCCTTGGAGCAACCCCGCAGAATAATAGTTGGATTCTACATTAAATAATATTCGTATTATTTCTTGGTGTACTAGTGAGAGAATATTGGTGCAACAATAGTTGCCATAGTTTTGGATGAGATTTATCAAGCCTTGGATAGCAAGAGAACTATGGCCGTGCTTTGCTAAGTCTAGCGTCGAAAACAAAGCTTGTAGTGCGGTTCAGAAGCATATGTGAACCAGTGTAGGTTTAGCGCTACCTGGTTTTCCTTGCAATATCACCGGTTCGTACGCGTCGCCGGGTCGAATTACAATAAAAAAAAAAACGTTCTCATTCAGCAAATCATTTAGGGCCTGTCTGGATACCACTTTTATTGAGAAATATCGCGATAATTTTGCAAAATATTCAAGAATCTCAGCGACCTCAATTTGGCGTGTCTGGATGCCACTTCTTGACCAAGTTATATTCCATAATTTTATCAGAAATATCGTGAAAACCACAAGAAATAATATTCTACTCATGAGTAGAATATTTTGACGATATTGACATTGCGCGTTGAATTGTGGGGCATTTCAGAATGAGAAAGGCCATCGTGATTGCTTTCCTACGTCGATGGCTCATTCGCGTGCGCCCACGACCCATCCAAGGAAATGAACCGGCCACGTTGCCGCCTCGAACCCTATACCGGACGTCTTCATAATATGTGAAACCTGCGCGTATTGCTTCTTCATCTCGGCGCTTCTCGACTTGACTTGTTCTTTCGTGTAGCTGACAGCGGTCGGAGTTGAGTTTCGTTGTTGCGGCATGCCAAGCTTCTCGCTTGAAGCCACTGTTGGCATGCTTGCCCAGCACATGCACCTGGTGAATCATTTCCTTCATCCAGGTGAAGTCTTTCTCGTCGTCCCAACTGGCCCTTCCGTCGTCCATCTTGCGTTGGAGTTGCGCGCCAAATGACAGAGACGGCTTCAAATTTGGACGTCTGAACTGTCCTCTGATTGGTTGTTCATTTCCGAACTTTCTTTTATTCTATGGCCATCCAGACACACCACCTACTGTAAAATCATTCTTGGATCTTGAAACCCAAGGATTTCCTGCAATGTCGAAAAATGTTTTTTATTCAATATTCCAATATCCCATAATATTCGTGGGTGGCATCCAGACGGGCCCTTGGTACAATAATATAGTTGTGAAAATGTGGTGTATGACCGTTTTTTCCATCCAAACTATTCCGTCCAAAACACCCAAAATCCCACGAATGTATGTACCAGTTTCATGGTCTTGTGATGTATATTTCAGCACTATCCTTCGAAACAATTAGGTAAAAAAATTGCGTATCTGTTACATGCACAATCGGCCGCGCCTGGTGGACGAGGTCCGTGGGGTCGGCTGGTGTCGACGCAGAGTTCAAGCACGCCAAAATATTTCTTTTCCATCATATTATTCACTGTCACCATACGAGCAAAACAGGGCTGCGTCTTGTTCGGTTAGTTGGTATTGTGTTTGCACCAGGTAGATCAAATGCCGCTAATATATATATATATATTATTGTTTCCAGGAATGAGCGGATTCGTGAAATATATATAACGTGTTTCTTGAACATCTTTCCGTCGTGGCCATCATTCTTGTCACACTTCTACATGATACCGCTGTGTTATCAGCTGTAGAGTAGTTTGACCAACAAGGCGCTGTGGACTTACCACATTGGTCGATGCACAGGATTCGTGGCGGGTCAGCAGCGGCAGGACGACGGTTAGTAGACAGCACAGCTAACGTTATGACACACATGGGCACTATGATCTCAACTAAGTATTACGATCAAACTCACCGCCTCTTGGTGCCAGTGGCATCAACAGGATATATTATATATTGCGACTATCTAAAATGGCGTCTCGGCCAATAGATTTCACGATATTCGACGACCTCGAAAACAAATAATTGTTTGCTACTGCAAAATATCGATAATTGTTCAAATATATTACTTCGGAGTAGGTACTGTGGAGTAGGTACAGGGAGTGGTCGAAACCATCACATTTTCCAATATTACCCAATAAATTGCTAAAAGATTGTGCAATTAGTGTTTTCTATGGTCTGTCATGATACGCTGAAGAACCGCTCAACCATGTTGCTCGTTGGAACGACAAACTTCAAGCATCTGTACTTGCTTGATGTAGGTCCCATTCGGCGACGTTTTGGAGCCAAAAGTTCATCCGCGTACCTCAACGGCGTACTGGGGACTGTAACTGTGCCAGGGTCCAACAGGCGCATGACCAATGAATCCTTCTTAGCCGAAGCTTGAAAATAAGGTATCGATATTTACCAGCCCTGAAAATAGATTATTACATCCAACGTCACATAAGAAATAGACTATTTTTTCTATCTTATCTAGATTATTATTTCAAAGATATATGAAGTCCGAAGCCTGGTGCCACAATCGGCAGTCGGACTTGCAAAGTAACCTAGTCGTTTTACTCAAATGCTTTTAGCCAATCAAAGCAAGTTGCATGAATGGGAATAATAATATTTCCCAAATACCCATACTCTACCGGTAGTATACAGTAGGGGGGGGAATAGCTCAGGTGTTAGAGCATCGGTTTCTTAACTCAAAGGTCGTGGGTTCGATACCCGGCTTCCCCGGATTATTTCCGCAAGGATTTATCCGTCCCTCCCCTGGGGAATCCGGATAACAAGGGCTGCGTACGAAGACGAGGACCGAACTTCGAAGAAGATCGGTCGAAGCACGAGGTATGAAGCGTTGAGCGAAGTAAAAACCGAAGATTACACACCGCCCCTGGTCGAGCAGGCGCGTTACAATTGGCGAAGCGGTTCCATAACATGTGGTTCTAGTGTCGGCCCTCGCGGAGGAATGTCTTAAAAATGATAATCCAAACTCAATTAACCGGTAGTATACAGTACTTGGACGATCGTGACAAATTTCGGACGATCCTGGGAAATACTACACCACTTCCCGTTCAAGTTGAAATGAATTTCCAGTCAATGTGAAATGAACACGTTCGAAACACGACGATTTTCAAATCAACATGAATTCTCTAACATTCAACTTGAAACATACTTTGTTTCATATATATTCTGGTGTATGATTTGGATAAAGGAGGAAGATGGGT